CAGAAATTTCGATCCAAACTGCTAGAATCGCATGTTTTTTTTTTTTTTTTTTTTTTTTTATAAATATTCGCGTGCGATATTTCTTTTATTATTATTTTTTTTTTTTTTTCTAAATGGAGGAGCGGGGAAAAAATAACGGAAATTTTGTTTTTTTTTTTTTCGGATCCGTTTCCCGCGACGCGATACTGAACACCACGTGATACTGGTCGTTCGGCGGGCGGCGGGTGGCGCGTCGTGGGCCGCTAAGGGTTCGAGTCAAACTGACGAACGTGAAACACGGATCGCGGACGGGCGTGTGCGCCGGCCGTCGGGACGCGAAAAAAAAATTACCCGGCGCACTCGCGATCGCGCCGCCGACAACGGCCGTCCGGCGTTTATTCGGCGGGGACCTCTAAACTCCGCGTTCGAACCTAACCTAACCTAACCCGTCCCCGTCCCTAACCGCCCGAAAATCCGATCGGACGGTTTTTCTGGGACCGGGACGCGCATTAACGGTCGCAATACTCGAACTGAGCCGCCGGGATTTCAATGCATTTTCCACTGTTTTCCATCGCCGCCGGCTTCGCGACACTCACGTTGTCTCTAATTCGTTTCGGGTTAGTTTTTTTTTTTTTTTTCTTGTCAATTTTCGGTTTTCCGATAATTTTCTTAACAGTTTAGAATATGCCAGGGTGTTTAGGAAGTTGAAGACGAAAACAGAACAAACAAATTAGAAGTGTTCGCTACCGTTGTAGTTGGTAAGTTTGAAAGGAAGGATATGAATTATATTATAATTATAAAAACCCATTAGAAAATCAAATGATCTTCCGAATGTACAGGCTAAATCCAATTTCCTTTCATGAAACGTACTACACTGGATACATCGGCGCAACATTTCTGGTTGAAATGTTGCTGAAAGTCATGAAAAAATAAAAATAAGAATATTACACATCACAATAAATCCGATAAATATCTCGCTAGGTTACGAATCCAAAATTCGCAGAAATTTAGCTTGCAAAAAAAAAATCGAATTTGACATTTTTGATGAATCACTTCACTACGTGTTAAAACGACAATGCAAGCTAAATAATTGCCAATATTTTGTTTTTATTTAAAAAATATATGTTCAGACTGTAAAATAAAAAAAAAAAAAGGTTACTTTTGATAAACTGAATTCGCTCAATTTCTATAAATAATTTGAATTGTACCTCGAAATTCGTGAAAACTTTATTTTACTTGAAATATCGCTGAAAGAGAAATGAAAAAAAAAATTGGCTAATCAGAGGATTTCATTTACGTCCGCGGTCCGTTTCAAGTGGGGAACTTTAATATGCCGTCGGGTGCACTATTATTTTAAAGTGAATGCAGTGTGTCTTGCCGCCCCACGGCCAACCCTACGCCGCGGTGCTGGTGACAAATTAAAACGACCGCTCTTGGACATGACGCCGACGCCGCCGAAGTAAGTATCGCCCGCTGAAAAGTACGGCGGCGGACTATCGCCACCGTCGTCGAGAACGGTCAACGACACTTTATAAACGATCGAGTACACTGGATATCCGTTCGCTTCGGTTTTCGCTCGGTTCGGGCACGTTCGGTCAAATATTGTCCGGCGCGACGTATTATTATATTGTCATTACCGCTGAATCTGTCAGCTTTCGGTTTTCAAAACCGTTTTGCCAACGTCGGTCCGGTGTGCGCGGTACGTCTTATATCGACGACGAGCAAAACAATACGGTATGTTTAGGCGACCGAACGGAAAGGACCGATTTCACGTGTGTTCAAAGTCATAACGCCTATACATTAAATGGAAATTATAGTATTGTGTAACGCCGCTAAATTAAACTTCCGGTAGCGCTAAAACCACTTGTTCTTCAGTGTCGTGATAACAGAAAAATAATATTTTCGAATCGTTCTCCCGTCACCCGCTCCATTAGTCCACGCTCTTTTATAATTGTAACTATGTGTGGTAAAATAATCAAGAAAAAAAAGTTTTGAGCTTCCGAAATGTGGTGTTACCGAAAGATGTTTAAGATTTTGTGATGCGATGAATTAACAATTAACGAAGAAGTGTTAATGAGAATTAAGAAAAAAAAGTCGACTTTAGAAAATTTAAAATAATAGAAGAAATAACATGATAGAATATATACTGTATCATAATTGTTTGTTAAGCAACGTTAGGTAATTTAGGTTCGGTAAGGTGGTATAGAAAAGTAAAGCCAATGGTTAGAAGGACGACGAATTAACTATCATAGATTATGAAGGACAAAAAAGTAAAAAACTTTTGGGAGATGAAAGAGTTGAGTTATAGCAGAGACGAATGGAGAGCTATGGCTAATCCATCAAAAGATTGAACACCAAAATGAAGAAAAAGTGACATTATTTTTCTGGGAAAAATAGATCCGTTCGAAAATTCATTTTCTCTGCAATAATCAAAATATAAAAAAAAAATAAGAATAATTTACTACATATTTTTATTCACTTTAAGTTTAAGTTTAAATTTTGCAATACCAAAAAAAACCCAAACTTAAAAGAGTAGACACTGTCACTGTGGAATGTGCTATCAAAACTAAACCCAAGTTTAATCGCGAATCGTGCATAACGTGAAAACTATCGTCAAAACTATTCAAAGACCTCCTGCTCGGTTTTGGGAAACAAACTTCTCGGACATACTATCTAGTAATGACTACACGAGAAACTCTGTAGTATCGAAATATCGGCGTAAGAGAAGCTTTTTCAAGATTTCAAGTTTACCTCCACTACCCTCCCGGCGTTTTCGGTATTTAAAAAAAATAATAAAGAAAAAACAGCGCTCGATTCGCCAATTATACGCTGGGCGTATAATCTAAAGGACAAATTGACTTAAAAAAATAAGTTTAAAAAAAAGTAAAATAGAAAGTAAAAAGTTTTATGCATAATATAAATTAAGTGAAATATTTTGGGCAAAATAAAATAATTTAATATTAATTTCCACGTAAATATTTAATTATGATTTTAGATTATTTGTAAATTATAAAACCAATGAAGTGATATACCTAAACTATTCTAAGCTCTTGGCCATTCAATATGTTGTTTATGTTAAACAAAGAACTAGCGAAATTAAAAACCAAACCTAAAACAAACAACATTAACCTAACATTGTGTTTTTGCATTTTTTAACCTAACTTATGGTTTCCAATATGAGTAACTAAGGTTGGTATTAATAATATGTATTGGGCAAATTGCCCAAATATAGATTGACAGTTACAGAAGAGGCCAAATGGTTGTATAATAACAGCTCTTTAAAATTGCGAAGGACCAAACAACAGTATAATAATTAAGAGAGAAACACGCGGAGCATTTAATAGCTATTTACGTGGTAAGTTTTCTAAATTCGTTTCTGCCTGACATGGAGTAAAAAACAAAATCGTTTGGATACTAAAAGCAAGACGGATCGTACAAGTTATTGGAATGAAAGACGTGGAAATAATAAATAATAAATATAAAAATCCTGTGGTTATTCTGTACAAATTGGAACTGGCAGACTTTAAATTGGAAGTTTTGTTAAAAGAAATTCCAGAAATTTTAGCGCAGCTTTGAATCGACAATTACTATATAATTACGCAGGATTTTGTAGACGTATTTAATAAAATGGAAATAGCGGACAATCAAAATTTTTGTAACTAAGGAGAGTGCGACGATCGCAGTGATATAATTTTTGATAATAACAAAACAGCTGGTATAGACAGTTTAAAATGGCTAAATTTGAATGCCACTGTTAAAATGTATAACAAATTTGTGAGCCAAATTACCAATCCTAAAGTAAACAAACAGATCGGTAACCATAATATTGACTTTATCAACTGTCCAGATGTGCGTCTACAAAAAATATTTTATTCTAATTCAGCGAGATAGAATACCATTCCAAGATTGGAATCTGGAGATTATTATAAGTTAGGGGACGTGTTTAAACCACTGGAAGATTTTTTTAATTTTATTAGAAAACACCAAAATATATTTCCAATATGCACCGTTTTTTTCGGTGTCGATTTTTAGAATGAAAACGAAATTGACAGACGGTTTACAGAACACCCGTTGTGTTGTGTTCAATAACCTATTGCGATAAGTATATAGGGGCAATTCGAATACAAAAAAATGTACTGGAATACAAAATAAATTATCCAATATCGAGAACAGAGAAATAAGATCATAAAATATACTCTTTCTGCGTACAGTTTTAACTGTTTATCTATAAACTATATAGAATTCGTGGAGGACGAATTAAACAAAGAAAACATTACAATTATACAAAAACGTTACGTTAAAGATGGCGAAACGTTTTTCTCTAGATCCGGTTTAAATTCTCCACCATTTCAAATAAAGTAAACATCGAGGACACTGGATTGATTAAAACTAACAATGTTACTCTCCAGATTCTAAGGAATAGATCTAACATAATCAATAGACTGCCTCTGTATACAATAAAGAAATAAACCCACTCTCGTTTGTGTACGTAACATCTGCGGAAAAACTTAAATTAGAATCGGAAGAAATAAATACAATAAAAACAAAAAAAAATTGTTTGTCAAAGACAATTTCCAGATGTGTATACTTCTTAAAAGGTTCTTTTAAAAATTTTCTTTATAAATATATACAACAGCAGAGAAAAACTTGAAGAAGAAGGATACGTTTTAATTTCGTTTAACGAAATATAATTAATAGTCCCCCCCCCCAACAGAAGAATCTATTATAACGTTTAATACTAATGGAATAATTAAATTTAATGGAAATTCGTTCAGTGGAAAATATTAAATTTTTTTTTGGATTTATTACGAGATATTGTTGATTTACCTTTTAATCAAAACGATATAGAACAAATCGAAGAAATAACCATGCACTAAATAAAAGGCCATGTTAATGTTACACAGTGTCGGCGTTTGGAAAAAATACCGGACAAATAGTAATTAGTAATCATTGGAATTAAACAAATACGTTATAGAAACAAAGTCCGTTACGCATTACAGTTTGATAATCTGGATTCCTTTGTATGCGCCCGATTTCTGGTTATAGAAAGAAATGTCATATGTTAATATAGATTTAAATTACAGGATAAATCAAACATTGTGTTCCTATTCAAACGTTCTGTATAGTATTTAAATTTATCGCACTAAATCGTCATTTTGAAAAACCGTTTATTCGAAACGGAATATCGTACCAAGTTTAAATATCTTTCTACACTTTAAGGAAAAACGCCACGAGTTTTCGACGAATCTGTTATACAACTGCGACGGATTT